TATATATCTCGTATTATTATATAATATGAAGTCATCAGTTCAATCAGGAACTGGAACCAACAACGTGATTATCGGCTATCGATGACTTTGTATTTTAAAAAAACAAACCCGCACAAGTACACGGACACAGAAGGCAGGGCATACATCTATACACAGACTGATGGGAAGAAAACAGATAGGCAGGCTGACAGACTGACAGAAGGTAAGACAATGATACAGACAAACAAATAGACAGAAAAATGCTGACAACATGGCGGTCTGGACAGATAGAAACAATCAGGTTCGAAACCAGATCTTCAAGATGTCAACCAAGCTAGTAACCACCAATGGACTCGCTGTCGATTGGTGTCGAATCTTTACACCGTGAATAATGTAACAAACAGAAGGAAAGGAAGAATTCACAGTTGCCTTTGGCTTGCTTTATTTAAAATAAGAGAATATAACGAAAACGCTTCAATAGTTTGCTTGACAGGCAGCAGGACCAGTGAAACAAGCACATTCCTGGAGTTGTAACTTTCAAACTTCAACCCCCCCCAATCTAACATTGTCACATTCCTGAACCACAATGAAGGGACTTGTTCCCTTTCATAGTCACTGACTAAACAACCCTGTGTCTCGCTTCGTTACCAACCCCCATCTCCATCTATCTGTCTGTCTGTGTATGCATGTGCTCATCTCTCTCTCTCTCTCTCTCTCTCTCTCTCCCTCTCTATCTCTCCCCCTCCCTCTCTATCTCTCCTCCTCCCTTTATATCTCTCCCCCTCCCTCTCTCCTCCCTCATTATCTCCCCCCCTCCCCAACATTATATCCATGGCCCTTGTCCTTTACATCAAGTTACATGTACCACCAGATTCACTTTAACTTTATCTATACAACTGCAAGCTGGCTTATTCTTCCCCTTCACTACATCTTAACCAATCTTGTGCCTGCCCCCCCCCCCCACCCCTTCTCTCCAACTGGGTCTTCTATCTCCCTACGTCAATTGTTTAAACAGTTCGTCAAGCCAAACAGTAGGCCAGGGAGTGTTTTGAAGATGACAAGCCCCCGAGGAATGAAGAGGAGTCTTTACCTTAAGTCCATCAAGTCTTTAGGTCTTTTTTTAGATAGGGATAGGCAAGTCGGTGGACTCTGAGACAGGTAGGTAGGTAGGTAGGTAGGTATAGGTAGATAGGTAGGTAGGTAGGTAGTTAGGTAGGTAGGTAGGTAGGTAGGTAGGTAGATAGGTGGGTGGGTGAGTAGATGGGTAGACATGCAAGTGTGCAGATTGACAAGTAGGCACATGGGTAGACAGGTATGTAGGTAGGCAGGCAGGTAAGCATGAAAAAGAAAAGTGTGTCGGCAAGCCCTCAGAGCCAGAGCTTTTTAATTGGTGATAAGCGCTATATTTCAATAAATGTCTTCCATTAAACAAATATTAAAATACTCTAATATTAATAATCTATAACTTTCGGTCATTGAGATCACTTCTATAATATCATTTGAATCAGTAGGGAAAGATATGGATACAGTCAAACCAATATGAATAAGTAACC